ACAGCACAAAGGAGACGTCTGGATCAGGGATCAATCGCTAACCGGAGAAAAAGGGATCGCGATAAGAAAAGTGGGTGGGCAGGAATTTTCGACAATCAAGCGAAGATGTCGTCAGTGAATTATGTCTGTTCGAATAAGCCTGTACAACTTTGGGAGCCTAGCAGTCAGGGAGGTAGGCAGATGGGCAAGCAACCTGTCACAGAAATTCGGTGTTATGGCCAAAATGTACTAGAAATCCACTTGAGATGTCGCATGCGACCAGAGATAGGCGTCCACAGTTTAATCAGGTAACACGAGTTTAATCAAGGGGACGACCCATGAAGGCAATGCCTGATATCTGCAAGCATGGGAATCAGAGCCTAGACACTCTGCTAGGTGGGTCGGCAGTGTACGTGCTTCTAGAGCCTTGATAAATAGCATCTGCAGTAAAACGAACACTAGAACTGTAACCGAGTCAAATCGGGATAATGAGAGGGATCCGGATTGCAGGCCCGAGAAAGTGAATAGCAGGTGTGATGAGGCCACACTAGATTTGCCACAAAATTGCACACATTTTGGCGAGTGTAATTTAAGCAAGTCGGAAGTTGTGATAGAGCCAGAGTTGGATAAGAGGGTAAAGAGTAGATAGATAGGCCAGGACAGAATGGGTAGTGTTGGTGTAACCGTTTTCGGCAGAACGTTTGTCGAGGCATTGACTTCACATGTCTATTTGACGAGTTCGTAGCTTGGTGCGGAGAATGGCAAAACTCACTGATGATGCCGGCGAAATGTTTGAGAATGTACCAAGTCTACTGTCTGATGCTGGGAATTATGATAACTACTATGGCCGAGGACTTCCAACATTGTGCGTTCTACTAAATCGCCCTAACATCAGTACCAAGTTGCGACAGCGAAGCCAACCCACTTCCATAAATCGAAAGGAGGCTGCAACCATACCGGGAACCAAATCATCTTGGTCTTCATATTTTGGAATAAGATATTTAAGTTTATATATATTTTAAGTCTAGATTAAGGAAGGATCTAAGCAAGGTTCTTACTCCAGATGATTTAAAAAAAACTCTAGAGTATGACTGACCAGAAGTCACACAGGGTAAGAGATTTGATACATCAGCGCAAGATGAAAACCAACCCTGGACAATTTTGATGGTTCTCTATTAAAGGCATTAACTGCTCCAACCGAAGATAGGGATAAAATAGTAAGCCTGTCTTCAATCCCTCTTGATTCTGAAACGGTGGATCTCTCGAAGAAATGGTTAAATTTTTCAAACGGCAACATTTAAGAAGATATACCTGTAGAAGTTATCAACATCTCAAAGAAATTTCCGGGAGAGACCAAAGGGGAGATGGAAATGTAATTAATCCCGAGAATTCTGTTCCATCAAGAGCCAATAAAAATGAGAGGATTGATAAAGATACGTAGAAAATTACAAATGAATGAGCAAATAGTTCTTCAGAAGGATAAGGGCGGTGCGACGATGCAACAGTACACGGAGAAAATGGACAGTATCTTACGCGACCGGAACACCTAGCAAATAGTAAGAAAGGATCCAACAATGAAGATCAACGGGACACTGAAGAATATGCTAAATGAAATGCATAATAATAAAGAAATTGACAGATGGATGATGAAATCCTTAATTAAAAATGACGCAAGACCGCCAGCAGCCTACGGACTACCGAAACTACACAAGGAAGCAAATCCGCTAAGATTAAGAGTCAACAACAAGTATGGAGCAATACACAAACTAGAAAGTGAAGAAAGTGAATGACACTCTCGAATACTATTAAGAATTTATATTAATTTTCTCAAAGGATCCAAAATATTGGAGTGGCAGGGTCGAAACTGTTGGTAGCTTTTGACGTACAATCCATGTACACAAACATCTCAGGCGAGAAGGCAGTCACCTCCCAGCTGGAGGTCTTGGAACGTGAGGAGGATATCCTGGAAGCAGAGTGGATACGGAAGGAGTCTTTAACAGGACTAAACAACCTGACAGCAAGTACCACATATTTTACATTCAACGGCAATATATATGAGCAAAAATTTTGACCACCAATGGGATCTCCACTCTCACCTCTTTTGGCAAATGTGTACATGGACAGATTGGAGAAGGAATTCGAGAAGAAACCGCTGCCACTAAGAGTGCTTATGCGATAGTTGGACGACTACTTTGCACTTTGGTTGCATGGTAAGGAAAATTTGGATGAATTCCTCAATTATATAAGCCAACTTGATGAAAGAATTAAATTCACAATGGAGGTGGAATATAAATAACTACCCGTCCTGGATATTGAGGTCATCTGCTCCAACGGAATACCCAAGAGCAGACTATTCAGAAAGAAATCATATGCAGAAATAGCCCTCAATTTCGAGTCTCATCCTAACCATAGGCTGAAGATCGTAGTACTGAGGAGTATGATCATCAGAAGCTTAAGATTAACTGACACTGAGTTCTGGATCGAGGAGTTGGAGAAACTGACTCGGTTTTGCCTTAGTAACGGGTACTTCAGAGAATTTATATAAATAAATATAGGGTTCATAAAGAGCATATTTCTACTAGGATTTTATGAAAATAAGATCAGAAATCTGGAGGGCGACGAAAAGTGGATATGCCTGCCTTTCTGTGCCATAAATTGGGACCGCTGCTAAGAAAATGGAATATCAAAGTAATAACAAAAATAAGACAGCACTCTTCACAAGCCTGTGAATCAAGGAACACCAAATACTGTGCAGAAATATGGACATTGAAAGATCCGAAATAGCGAAACACATAGCACGAACAGACATGAAATAGAGTGGAAATCGACAGAAAGGCTGACTACATATGGTGGAATTACAAAAAAACACAAAATACGAGGAGCTATTTGTATCCTAACTGAAAAAACCTAATGAACGGGAGACTTGAAGAAGGCAGAATTAGCGAAAACTTTGCATACTGCCTAAACAAACTCAAAGAAGATCAGGGAACAGCGATATCAGCAAAAACAAGACGACTGGACATGGCTAATACTCTTAATTTTAAGAAAAGAAATTACAAGGAAATCAGAGAATAACAATCGGAAACCAATAGAAGAAGCCTACAATGAACCTATTCAAATCAAGTAGAACCATCACACTTGGAGGTTGACATGCAATAGAATGCCATAAAAGAGCGAGAGAACCGATAGTCGCCATTTATAGTTGGCTATTAGTAGATATCTTTGCTCATAGACGTGGTCCATGAAGTAAAGGCTTGACCACGAGGTTCACTCGGTGTACAGGCGGCACAGCGATAAGGGAACCTGCAGCGTCAAGTTAGGTTGTCATGCCAAATGAGAATCCAGACTTTAGGGGCTTGCTCAGTGAAGGTGGTGTATACATGCTATCAAAGGCTTGAGGCAGGGTGTAGAACAACGCTTTGAGTAGCATGGATACGGTAGCAGTGATGCGGTGAAATCATTGAAACATGCAGATAAGGGAAGGATCCTACGGAGCAAGAGGGTACTCTGATAGGATCTGAAGAAAGAGGATTGTGGATTAAAGCGCAGCTTTGGATCAACAGTGGGAGGGATGAGGAAACCAGCGGGGAGTAGAAATAGATTTTAAATAGGTCTAGATAAACAAGTAAGAAATTGTGATATCGAAGGCGTGATACGAGGATATACTAGAGGTGAATAGCCCAGGACAGGAGAGATACCACAAATGTTTAGCACACATATGGTCAAAGAATCGGCTTGACTTGTCTCTATGTCGAGTTGTAGTGTGGTGCTGAGAATGGCAAGGCTCACTAACTATGCCGAAAACGATGTCGGCAAAACGTCTTGGAGTGTATCAAGTCCACGGTCCGAATCTGGAAATTATCATGCATACTATGGACTCGGGACGAGATGTGTTAATCTAAGTTTTCCTGCCAATATGACCAAGTTGCGAAAACAAGGTCAAATAACTTATATACAACGAAAGGAGACCGCGACCATACAAAGGCCACACCATTCTGGTCTTCACATCTTCGACTAAGCCGAATAAAGATGTCTCGTAGAGTGCGTCAACCTGTACGCGATAGTAATATCGAACGACTTTAAGACAAAGGGAATCGGTGGTCATCTTCTTCTGAAATCCACCTACGAACTTCATCTGGTATCTTTTCATGAAATGAAAGCCTCGATTGGAAAATGTTCATTGACGTAGCTAAGGGCATAATCTGAAGATGACTACGCTGAACAAGAAGATATTATGCCGGGATATTCAGGAAGATCTAGCTATGTTCAGAATACTAATAAAAAGCACAACATTTGGTAGGCTATCTGAGGGTATAAAACTTAATCGTAGGCAAAAGCTGTGATAAAAGGATGCTTTTCCGATTAGGTTTGTGAGAATGAGCAAAAACCTGTACTAGCGATACATTATGGCCACTAATCGCGATTGAAATAGGTGCAAATAACGATAGCGGATGTCTCCAGTTACCATACTATACATCTTGAATTGTTCCAAAACCCTCGTCCTTGAAATGTCAACGAGGTATATGCGAAGAAAAGTTAGGAAATTCTCGGTTTATAAGTGTTGAACTCACCTTCATTGTGAGTGAAAATGTAAGGGTCGGTCCTACCCGAAGAAGATGACAATTTCATGTGTATACGAATCCCAAAATATGAATGGGTGTAGGTATGCACGTTCATGTATTTTTTTTGTATTTAACCTCATAACCCTTTGTTGTCTCGCGAAGCACGAAATCAGGGGAGCATGCTGAGTCGCTCAAAGTGTCAGTAACAGGGCTTGTTCAGAGAAAGGATCAGTTGCATCAAAATGTCAGGCTTCCTGAAAGGAATATCAACTTAAAAAGGTCAGGGATGAGATATCTAGCGACATTTCTTATTCAATCGACAAAATAGGTTGTTTTATTTGGATTATTTTCCACAGCTCAGCATCAAGAATCTCCATAAACTAAAAATATGGCAATTTTAGTGAAAAAGAATGAATACCAGATAGACTAACAAAGAGCCAAGTCGCCGTTGGTGTGTTGCAGAAGCTTGTCTTCATCATGACGCAATCTCCGAATTCGTCCGCCAGTAAGACGAAAGCCACCGAGTTCGATAAGTTCACTGACACGTTGGGGACAGAGTTGACGATTGAGGCTGATACGAATCACTCCGTCGGAAACAAACTCAAGTCCTGGAAGTTCATGATCATCAAGTGAGATGTTAGTGCCAGCTGTACCATTACGCTTAAACAGCTCAGGCGTCCAGAGTTCATGAAGATTTTTATTGTCAGAGACCTCGAAGATAATGCTTGACAGACGACGGCGAGATAGAAACATGGAGAAGTTGAATTTACTTGTAAGTCTGGTAAGTTTGATAGGAGCCCGGCTCAAACTGTAACTGACTAACTTAGCTCGTCGTAAAGAGAACACAAATCTAGATAAACTTCAACTAGCCCGCTATCAAACAAAGCTTGATAATCGTTCATCATAAACACAACATTGTATATAAAATCAACACAGGCTTTGGCATGCAGATTTAATAGCTACCTACTTTAGTTAGGCCCAAAGCACAACTGAAGTTTTTCTCATTTTATCAGAATAGAAAAATAAAATAAAATTTCACCATCTGTGCATCATTAAAGTTAAGGACTGATGCTTGCTAGACGTTTAAACGAAATAAAAGATGTTTAATGATTTTGAGATCTTTGTGGCAAAGGAATATTTAATTTTAGTACAAACGTAGCCAATAGAGAAGATGAAATACAAGAGGAACTTAACTGAAAAAAAGTAATATCTCAGCCAAACAAAACTGTTTGTATAATGAAAGCCGATCTGTTTAAGATAATCTTGCTTGAGCGCAGGAAAAATAGTGCTCTCGACGTCCGTCGGAGAGTCTGGAGCAGAGGGGGCAACTGTGAAGATGTGGACTGGACGAAATGAGTCTTGAGTTAATACGACTGAGATGCCACCAGAAAATCCGAAGTAAACCCTCTCTCTCTCCCTCGTCGGCCGAGTTGGTCTCGGAGAGCCAAGTGGCAATCCTCTCCGGGTGACTTAAAATTCATTGGGGCCAAGCCACAAAGAGGGCGGTACCGATGGTGGAGAGGCAAGACAAGAAGGTCTAAGATCTCAGGAGATTCCAACGTTACATACTTCGCGAGCCATCAAGAATGGTCTTTTATTGGAGGAAACTAAATTGGACTAAACGACTTTTCGATCCTAAACGCTGCCAGAGAATGATAATAAGGCAGGTGCAAGGAGGGGATCGAATCTAAGATTGTAAGCTTATTTGCTCTTCCGGTGCGAGAGATAAAATCTTTAATCTTTCTCGTACCAGGATCGACCTCCTATCTGCTTTATTCCATTTTTATTTAGATTCGTCCGCTTTATCGTAATCTATCGGAAATAATGTATTATAATGGAAGAATAACTGGTTTTTGATATTTCACTTGAGATAACTCTGCTGTAGATAATTTCGCTTCACGTAATAGTGCCACTGAAGATATTCGTAGGTCGATCTCACCACAATACGACGGCCGATTCCTGTTTTTCCTCAGCCATTAGGCTTTAATACCACTTTCAGATTGGCGCAGTCCATAAAATATTCTCCATGTTGATAAAAAGTCAACTGACTTAAGTGTCAGGAAGGCTAAGAAATTTATTTTCGCTTTTAAGCAGGCTTTTGAGACCATTTTTGTTCTGATACAACAATGCCTCTTTATGAATAATGAGCCTATTTGGTGTTCAGTCCTAACTTTTTCCTCATGCCTTCATTCCAAGTAGATATGCGAACTTATGAGGAAGTTTGAGATATAAGTAGTTTTTAATAAGAAGCTGACATTTTTTCGGTTATGCTCTTTTATGGATAAAATTATGGCCCATAATCAAGATGAAGATGCTACCAGACTGTGCTGAACTTATGTTGATAAGCCTGTCGGCCTATTTGCCAAAGCTTAACAGAACATACGAATGCTTGTAAATGGCCTAACTGGAAACGATACAGATTTGTCTCAAACGCATTGGTTTGCTGATTATGAGGGCTAATTCCAGTAGTATTGAAGCCGTTGGCTTTAATATGACGTTCAGCTTGACGCAGTCCACGAGACATCCTCTCTCGTTTCGAGTGAAAACAGGCTAAGCTTTCGTCCATCATCAAAGCTGGAAGTTATTCTTGCAAAAGTCTCACGTTAACACTAAGTCAAGAAAACTATCCCACTTTATCTTACCCCATATATAGACTCAAGCGAAATAAAATTAATAGGCAGGGGTAGATATAGAATGGTTTGGCTAATTATCTTTCATATTGTTCCCGCTACTTTTGCTGGAGTATGTATACGTGGGTGTGAACGTCTATAAGCAGTACCGGTCTTAAATCAGAGTGATCAAAAAAGGCTAGTGTCAGGCTCTGATAATCAAGGCTATATGGCCCAGGAAAAAGCCCTGATTGAGACTGCGTAAGCCAATAAGCAACTGAGGTATAAGTTGTAAGCGCGTAAGTCAGGTTACAAAACCACTTAACCTAACTTCTCAGTCTAGGGTCATTAAGAAGTGGGTTGACTTCGTTTTCATAACTTGGTCTTGTTGCCAGGGCGACTAGGTTAGACTCATCTTGTCCTATGTCCTCTGCCATACTAGTTATGATAATCCTAGCATCAGACCGTGGACTTAGTATTGTATAATAATGTACCAAGTCCACAGTCTGATGCTGGGAATTATCATAACTAGTATGGCAGAGGACTTAGGACAAGATGTATTCAACTAAGTCAGCCTGACAACGAGACCAAGTTGCGAAAACGGGATCAACCGAATTCTATAAATCGAAAGGAGTTTGCGACCATCTTGCTCTTCATATTTAGAGTCATTATGGTTTAACAGCCCAAGAAAAGGCTTGACTGGGAGTTCGCAATCTGATGCGTCTGGTTTGATTGATGAGCTTAATCCAACATGTATGACGAGTGCGAGTGAAGCAAAAACCATCACTGAGCGTACAAGCTGAGTCGCCTTCTTTTGGATGGCAGCTCAACATCTTTTCTATCTCCTTCAATCTATCAATCAAGCATAAATAGTTCTTACTCAACTTTCTACCAGTGTTCCTCACATTCAACGTATTCCTTGATCTAGTCATTTCAATAGCGTCTTTTATCTTTCTTTAACCAGCTGATGTACCATAATCAGCAAACTCACTAGTTTGAGACCATTCTTTGTTATGTCCAGTCTCTGCCATGTGTTCGACGACCTCTGACCGTTGGACCAAATTACCTTTACACGCATTTTTGTGTTCACCTAGTCTTTGTCGAATGGCCCTGCATTTCCCACCAACATAAGGCCGACGATAAGAGCCCACAATCTTGCAGCATCCGGATCTCGATAATGGGTCATATTTCTCTCTGAAAGATGGTCAAACCGAGGAAAGTTTAAGGGTTCCTTTGAATACTGTTTTTATCCCCCACTTTCTCACTAGTTCGTCGATATTTTTGGAAAGAAGGCGTGCCACAAAATCAGAACGGGAAAAGGTCTCCGTTTGTCCATATTTGACTAAATAATCCTCATATGAAAAGGTATTATTAACAATTATTATTAACAAATAGGCCCAAAATATAATTATTTTCCAGGAATAAATCTGTCGGCCATCCCAACTCTTAATCAAATGGTTACTATTCGAGAGTATCATACTCCTAATAATCATTGACTTAAAAATTCCAACCTTAGTTTTGCAACTGTGTTTGGAAACAAATTCAGAAAAGAGCCAACATACGTTGGCTTCCTATAAACACCTTAAAACTTACCCTCTTCTCTAATAATCAGAGCATCCAAAAAGGGTAAGGACCTATTCACTTCCATTTCATTTGTGAACCTAATATTGCTTTCACGTTTGTTAAGTTAAAGTAGCAAACTGTCTCAACTTTCCTTGCTATGAAATCAGATGGCAAAACAGTTATCCATATATCTAGCCAACTAATTGGGGGTTAATATTGCCTCTTCCAGAAAGTGATCCTCAAGTTAGATCAAGCTCATCAACCAGGCCAGGCGTACGAGATTGCACAGTCCCAGTCATGCCTTTTCTCAGGTGAGTAAACCTTAATGACCCTAGACATAGGTTAGATAGGTGGTTTCGTAACCTGATTTACACACTTACAAGCTTGCATCTCATTATCTTAACCATACTTGCTTACGGACTTACGCAGTCTCGGTCATGGTTTTCTCTTGGACCAGTAAGCATTCATAATCAGAGCCTGTCATTAGCCTTGTTTGAGCACCGGTATTGCGCATAAACGCTAATATATATATACACACACGCGCCAGCAAAGTAGCAGGACCAATATGAAGGATAATTAGCCGAGCCATGCTATATCTATATCTGTCTTTTTTTATTTTTCTTAAGTGAGTATATATAAGAGTTAAGGTAGAGCCGGATAGACCTCTTGGCCTAGTGGTAACGTAAGGTTTTTCAAGAATGAGTTCCAACTCTGAGGATATTCATCACATCATGGACGAAAGCTTAGTCTGTTTTCACCTGAAGCGAGGGAGGATGTCTCGTGGACTGCGTCAAAGTGAACGTCGTGTTAAAGCCA